GGAGTTAGGTGTGTCGCTGGTGTCAGAATCGAATACTACAGAAACAGACGTGATGGTGAGGGTGGTGTGGTGATTTTCGAGGTAGAGAGGAGGACTGTCGTATTGGAAGAGTACTTCTTAGCTTCATGGTGGTGGTTGAGGTCTCGAAATTTCTGAAAAAGTGCGAACGCGACGGTTGACCCTGTTGAGCCCATTCCTCCTCTCATTGTTTCTCATCAGCAATCGAGTTTTGACAAGGAATCCTGTTCTCTTCTGCGACGATTTCGCACTGTTGTGGAATCGCCGTTGCTGTTTGATAGGGCCACCTCTTCCTAGCCAATTCCTTTAATCGAAAAGACATGGAGATAGATGAAAAATATTATGCAGTACGTGGGATGTAGGTTCGAAGAAACTTGAATGTTTCCTCTTCCAGTGAAACCCGTTACACTTTTGATTCACAAACCGAAATGGACCGAGTGGGCAGGTAAGTCGAAACGGCAGCGATTCCATATCATTTCGTTCGAAAAGATTGTTATTATAAAGTCGGCGCTATTGCAATATGTGGGGGCATGCACTAGGACTAAGCTCAAAAAGGGGTGGCAGCTCCGCGGAAAATGAAAATGGTTCACGCATCCTGGAGTCTCACCTCCCCTGCCAAAGCTTAGTTTCATCTTTAACAAAAATGGCATGTTTCATGCGGTTTTCAAATGCACTACCACCACAGTGCCCCAGCATATTGCGATAGCGCTTTAAAATCTATAAGAAAGTCAATAAAATCACACATGAAACGTGAAAGGCCGTTCTCATTTAGAAAATGCAAGCCTTTAATTTTCAAGCGATTCCCGAAAAACGCATCATACTGCTGAAGCAGACAGCAAGGCAATGGCCGAGCACGGACATCACAAGGCACACGAACACCCGCATCACGTAGCGCCTAAACATCCTGAACATGAACATCCACATCACGTAGCACCGCATCATCCAGCGCCTGAACACCCACGCCACGTATCGCCCAAGCATCCTCATCATGTGTCACGGGAACAGTCCAGGCAGTGGTCACTGGATGTCACACGAGAAATCGAGTGAGTCTCCGTGTAAATTATCTTGAAACCTAACGCTTTAGAGGTGGTGAGCTCCAAATCGAATCACTTTTATTCATATTATAATAGCTAGAAAATCGGATTCTTTTTTTCTGAATTTTTTATGGGGATTTCCTTGGCTTATCTAAATGGGAAGCTTCTCAAATAGGACAAGCTACTCATGATAGCAAGGATACTAAACATTTCAAGAAAGCTACATCATGAGAACCAGGGTCAACCGTCCTGCTCGCACTATTCGAACGAGGGGGTCCCATTTGTGATTTCGAAGAGGGCTTGGGTTAACTGAGGTTAATGATCTCTGGAGAAGTGCGAACGTTGGTCGTTTAAAAAGCGTTAGAAGAGGTTGCCATTTAAACGGGATTCTTTTAGAATTTCGTGAAAGTTCTGCGAAAGCATATCAGATAAAAATGGAGGATTTGCCGCTTTATTATAGCAATTTACCCCTTATCTCCCATCCCCCTCCGCTCGACGGCCATTTCTGAGGGAAACAGTGGGCGGAGTTGGATTTCGCTGGTGTCAGAATCGAATACTATAGAAACAGCCATGATGGCAAGTGTAGCGTGGTGATTGTCGGGGTAGGGAAGAAGGGTGGTCGTATTGGAAGAGTCTACTAAGTTTTATGGTGGTTATGAAATTTTT